GACTAAAGTTGTATGAGTGGCTAATTGTAGCCTCATTGATATGCAAAATGTAATACCCTCCTACAATATTTGTAGGTCGTAAGTCTTAATAAAAAAATCACGAGCCATAGACATCGCTCTTTAAACCTGAAAAAAAAAAAATTAGAAATAATTATTAATCAATTATTCTAAAATTACTTATAATTAAATGTAAGTTGCTTATCAACAATTTATCAATTTTTATTGATAAACTCTAAACAAATTAGGTAAAATAACTTATAACAATCCAGAATTAATTACTAATCAATTTTTATGATTACAATACAACAAAACTAAAATACCTACACTATATCAATACTGCAGCAATATTTTATATACTAAACGCCATTAACCCGTCTTTAATTATCCAAGTATCATGCATTCATAAATACAATTAATTCGTCTTTAATACCCAAAATACTTTACATTCTAAACTTCCGAAAATCACGAGAAATATTATAAAAAGAAACCTTTTACTCACACTATAAGGTACTATTCCAAATCAATTACTAAAAATAGCCTTAGTTATATCATCTAATTCTATAAATAATAGCTCTTCACAAAACGTTTTCACAATATAATCATAAAAAATATTTAATATCAACCCCATCTTTCAATTAAAATAATCAAAATCCACCTACTTCTATAAAAATAAAATTTTTTATACCAACAAATACATTACATGCATAAATAACATCAAAAAAACATCTTTCAATTTTAAGTATAAAATATTATAAATAGCAATCAAACTCCCTTAATATAGAACTTTGAACCTTGTTTTATTTATATGAAACTCGCAGTGAACATTGTATACCAATAACGGCTTTGTTTTAGGAGATTTATAAATAAGAGCCCGAAAGTTAAAATAATTACAAATACGGGCCAAATTAAAATAATTACATATAATGTATACTTATTAAGTGCATAAAAAAACGTATAAATGAGAAAAAGAATTTTTTAAATTTAATAAATTTCATTTTCTTTGTATAAAATTATGAATTAGCATAATATTACTAATATGAAAGATATTTGTTTAACTCTAAAGAGTTACTCTGTTGAAACTTCATCGTCTTATAAATAATTGTACTATTTTAACACTTTTATACAATATTTAAGCGAAAATTATTATCCCTTGCGCCGTTAATTTAACCACATATTTACTACGATTTAGACTACACAATCCAATATAATTTGGTAACTCAATCATGAAATTTCTAGATAAATTTGCCGGAACTTCATTTATTCTTTTATCTAATAATCGGTCCATAGAAAACTCTAAATGCCTATAATAGAGTTGTGACCCGAAACCCAAAATCTTTTCGAAACCTTAAAATTGGAATGGTTATAACTAATGCACATTTATTATAAAGTAACTAAAATATTTCTGAAATGCGATCTAATTTTCATGTACTAGTATTAGAGTTTTGAAAAAGGTTTCGGGATTTTATATATAGTTTCTGGTTTCGGATCACAACTCTAGCCTATAACAACAATCCTATAATCGCGATTTTGTTATCGTTAAAAGTCAAATAGTCATAGTGCTTTGTGTTTCAGCCATCATTAGACTTTGGCCCTTAGGTGAGACCAACCTGATTCTGTGTTTACATTGCCCCCAGCGTCCCCACTCCATCATAGTAAAAAAAAAATTAGATAAATATACATAGGGCTACGAGCTATTTTGGAAATTGTTTATATAGTCACGGAACAATTCGGAAGAATTTTTTGAATTTTTTTTCAAATTTTACTATGTAAACCACAAATTCTCCTCTTCTAAGGTAACGTAAAACACAGGATCAAGTTGGTCTCGCCTTATTTGTAATCTTTTTAAAAAATTAGGCCCTTATTCGAAATTGGTTTTAATTTGGGCCGTATTTATAATTATTTACATTTTCCAGGCCTTTATTGTAAATTCTCCATTTTTTAAACTATACCAGGAATGGTGAATGAAATACGAAGAGTATGGTTTACGAGCAAGTTAAGTGGGGTGTCTCTTCTGTATCTAATTGAGCATTCTCGTGATTCAGGATTTCTATATTTGAGTGCTGCAGAATAAGTTTTCATTGTAGCGAACTTAACTCCTGAAACATTATGATATTACGTATTGGTATCGATGATCTGTATTTGATTTTTTCATCTTCACAAGAATCTAGAATCCTGGTGAATCAAACGCAGATTATCAATACCAATACGTAATATCATAATGTTTCAGGGGCTTAAGTTCGCTACAATGAAAACTTATTCTGCAGCATTCATTGTAATGCTGCATAGGTAGGGTTGTAATTTTACGTAATTTTACGTAAGATTCGGTAAATTGAAATTTCATGTATTGTAATACAAATTTTCGACGATTTAGGAGGCTTTCCCGTCTGTATGCTACTTGATTTTTCCTAATTTGTATATAGGGCTGCTCTATGTCTTTATTTTTCCTAATTTGTGCAAACATGCATATTTACAGTACGAAAGCTGATTTATTATACATATATTACTACATACAGTATATTTATTATGACGTATTATAAACATGTAATGGTAATATAATTCGAACGCATATAATAATGAATGACAGCTAACACACAGAGTAACCATGAGTAGTGTTACTATTGTAAATCGGGAGAGCGTATAGTGTTGTACAGTTTAGTTCCAATAGTTAACGTGTTACTGGGTATAATTATCTAATTATATTAAAGGGAGTACTATCGTTAGGATTCTATATACTATATTTGGGTAGGTCGATAGTAATTGATCGGAAGGGGTGATAGTTTACGGGTTATCGGGATTGATTTAATTAAGAGTGGCATGAATCTTAAAGATTTTTTAAGAATGATTTATATAAACGATCATAATAAATAATTAATTTGATAGGGTGATGCTCATGGTTTCCGATTTCAAATTAAATTAGTGACATAATTATTTTGAAATCAGTGATTCGTAAATTTTAATTATTTTGATTTGTAAGCTTATTTATGTAATAATAATTAATACTTTTTACAATCGTGAATTTTCTTTTGAACTTTATATCTCATATATATTTTAAAAATGCCTCATATGTCTGATCAACAATTACAGATTAAAGATATAAATAATATTTTAGAATTATTGATAGAAGAATATTCCAACATTACTTATAAAAATTCAATTAATATTCTTAAAAAAGAAATTAATGAGTTGTTGGAACTATTGCAAACAATCGAATTAGATCAATATCTTACTGTACGTGAGAAAACTATCAAATCTTATGATTTCTTTCAAGTTCTTTTGCTTAAATACAATAATTACAATTTTAAACAAATAACAAGAGTTAATAAAGAAACATTCTAGCATATAAAGAATCTTATACATAATAATCCAGCTTTTTTAAATCAATCTGAATGTTTACAAAAACCAGTTTAGTTACAATTAGCAGTTATTTTAGAAAGATTGGGTTGTAATAGAAATGGTGCTTCTATTGGATGATTTGTCAGACAATGGGGTTTAGAAATTGGTACAGTTATTAATAATACTAAACATGTAGTAATAGCAATAAATTATATTGGTAATAATTTAGATTATTGGCCTGATTCTTTGGAATATTAACAAATTAGTAAACAAATAGAATTGTCATTAGGATTTAAAGACTGTATTGGATTTTTAGATGGGACTGATGTTATACTTGAATACAAGCTAACAAAAGATGGAGAAACTTATTATAGTCGAAAAAAAATATATTTTGACTATACAATTAATTTGTGATGATTTTAAATACATTCGATTTGCTAACTTTGGATGCTCTGGATCAGTTACAGATTCAATTGCTTATAAATCAACAATATTATTTCAAAATGCTCAAAATTTTTTTAATAATGAAGAATATTTATTAGTAAATTGTAGTTATTAACTTATTTCAACAATAATAGTTCCTTATAGGCATCCATATGCAAGTATTTCAAAAATACAATTTTAATAAATTATTTGTCAAAGTACATGTTAGAATTGAACATGTTAATGGAATTTGGAAACAAAGATTTGGTTGCTTAAATAAAATAAGAACTCAAATTTCAGCAGAAAAAATTTAAAAATTGTTTTAAATATTATAAAAGCAACAATTATACTTTATAATTTATTATTAAAAAATAAGGATATATAAAATAAAACTTTAAATAAAATTGAAAAATGAATCAAATAAAATAATTTAGATGATTTAATAGATGATAGTAATAAATCAGATAAAAAAATAAGAAAATATATACAATATTTAGTTCTTCAATATAATATGTAATATAATTTATTAATATTATATTATATTTTATTGTAATCAATTACATTAAGTTGCTATCATTTATATATATAATTATTAAATTATTAATTATTATAAATATTAATATTACAAATTATTAAAAAATTTTAACATTTCTTTGATTTCTAAAAAAGATTTATTTTGTTATTGTTTTTTATCTTTTATATTTTTCTTTTTAACTTTTTCTTTCTCTTATTGAAGTTTTTGTTTTTCAATTAATAACTTTTCTTCTATTTCATATTTTTTCATTTTAGTTGTTTCTTTCTCAAGTTTAATTCATTCTTGTTAAACTTCAAGACTTTCAATTTAGTATCATAATAATTATTTTTTGCAGAAGCTTTATTATTTTTATCTTTAATAATTGGTAATAAATATTTTCACTTTAAAGAATTATTATTTATATTTTCAGAATTAATTAATATTAAATTTTACTTATTTTTATTGTTATTTGTTGCAAATTCATTTGATTCCTTATCTATATTAAATAATTATTTAAAAATATTAAAATAAATTTAATAAATATAATAATAAATATTGAAAATTTACTATTTAATAAATTATTTTCATTATTATTATTATTATTATCTAAATTGTAATAATATTCAAACTTACTATCTAAATTAAATTTATCTAAAATTAATAATAATGATGTTTTATTATTTCATCTATTATTTTTTTTATTAAATTTTAATATTAATTTAAATATTAATTATATTAAAACTAATAAAAAATAAGAACAATATACTATTATATAGTTTAGTTTCATTTTGATCTTAATTATTTTTTTCTAATTCTGTTTTATATTAATTTTGAATATTATTTTCTCTTTCAGTTTTATCTTGATCTTAATTAAATTTTATATATTTAATTAATATTTTTTTTTTGTATATTTAAAAAATTAAAATTACTATTTGACTCATCCTTATTATTTAATTTGAAATTTTCAAGAAAAGCAGGTTGAACATTTTGTCTTTTATCATATATCACATTAAGTCTACTATAATATAGGCATAATTCTTCTAATTTGGCATCAATAGTATTAATATTTTTTACATTATCTTCTTCAGTTAAACCTAAACTAGATTTTTCAGTTAATTTATGAGTTTCTATATATGTTTTTTTATAAGTTGCCCATCATTCACTTGCAATTTTAGCATTTCAATCACTATTCTTGCAATGTTTATTTACAAATAAAGCTATTTATACAAAGTCTGCATTTTTTGTTAAAGGCTTGCCACTTATAGATGCACTAATTGCTACTTTTTCATTAATAATGTTTTGATTTTCAGAATTTTCTATAGACATAACCATCACAAGTTTTTACTCTTTAGTGGTTTGTTTAAAAGTTCTTTTGAGAGGCATATTATTTTATGAAATATTAATCATTTGAAAATAAAAATGTAATATTATTTGAGAATTTTAAAAAAAATTTAAATGATGATTTTTGATGGCTTGTAATTCTTTATTAATTTATTATCATTACATCTTATATTAATATTTATTTCATTTTCAAATATCACCTATTTTATTTTCTGATTTCAAAATCAAAATAAAAATAAAATGTTTTAAACCTCTATTTATTTTTAAAATAAGTTAACTTTAAATTATTCTAATCACTATATAATTTATTGATTGCAATAATATTCCTATAGATGGTTTTCTTAAGCATATTATACTTTATAGCTATATAAGATATGGCTTTTATTTATTCAGAGAAAGGTCTATTCAGCCTCAATGCTTACTTTTTTTATGTTAAATAAGAAACCCAGCATATACTTATATACAAAAATAATGCAATATAATTAGAAAACAATACTAATTAGATGAAATTTAGATAAATTAATGTGAGTTGTTTTAGAGATAATATAGTATTTAATTTGTTTTTAAGATTTCATTATTAATTTAATTCACAGCTGGTTCTTTTGAAAAGCTAAAAAGGACCAATATTTATTCAATTTTATTTATGAAAGCTATGCTAGGTAATTATAGAATAAAGTTGCTGATATATTAGTAAGCAGTTACTAACTCTTTCATAAACAGTTTCTTTATCTTATGGTAACATGAAGTTATACTGCTTATATAACCAATCTATGGCTTATTTGTAGCCCCAACTGCTTGTTTGAATGTTTATATATATAGCTACCATGATCTTAAACTTAAAAAAGGGCATGAGCAGAACAAATTACAAACAAATAACTATTATGATACTGGGATATCATGACTAATCTTATAAAAAATGTTTAAAATGCAATAAGTTGCATTTAAGATCAGAATGGTATTTTGGATCCAAAGGAGTATATAGGGTATAAAAGAAGTAAATGAAGAATATATATGTAAATAGTTTAATTAGTTTTAATAGATAAGTCACATTTGTGAACAATAAATTAAAATGGCCATTAGGAACAGTATGCTTTGTTGGCTTTATTAAAATACAAGTCTCAATATATTATAATGTCTATAACAAAATACTAATACTAAACACAGTACACACTCTATAAAATCTATAAACTTCATTATTCATTTAAGTTCTTGTTCATATGAATTATCCTACTTGTGTTCATTAAACCAAAGTAACTAAAAGTCTTAATTACTAACTAGCCAAATCTAACACCCTCTTTCAAAAAGGTTATTAATCATACATTATATGATAATTTGAATTGTGGAGTGACTGAGTCACAGTTATCTAAACTGAACACTATATACAGATATAACAGAAATAATAAAAAAATCATAATAATATGAATAAATAAATAATAATAATAAAAAAGAAAAAATAAACTAAGGAACTCATAACTTGAAACAGTATACTAATCTACAATCTAACATTAGTGATGAGCAAATCACAATTTTTTAAAAATTCTGTGCAGAATTCACGGATTATAGTAAAGTTTTTAATTTTTCATGAATTATAAAAATATATATAAAGATAATTAGTAGAAATATAATTTCTTGTTAAAATAATATCAAGTATATGCATATATATATAGAATTATAAATAAAAGTTATACATAAAAATGCAAATTGGGATAAAACAGCTACTAAAAAAAGTTTTAAACACCATGTGATATATATATTGAGTACTAAAAACTTGTTAAAAATTATTTTTCACCAATTTAAACCTTATGAAAAAAATAAAATAATTAATTTATTACTTATTATTTAATTTTTTTGGTTGTATTTTTGTTTATTAAACTATATAAATTTTTTTAGTGCTTAATATATTTGTTATATAATGTTCAAAAATTTTTTGATGGCAACTTTACTTCAGTCTTAAAAATTGACCTATTAATGTTAATGCAGGCTGGATGATATTTAATACAGACCAGATGATATGCTAATGCAGACCAAATAATCTATTAAAAATTCTGTACAGGTTTCTGCACATGGCCCATTACTACCTATAAAAAACAAAATAATACTTTAAATCTGCAATAAAATTTTGTTACTTATCGAGGTGTTGTACTGAGACACTAAAATACATTAAAACAATAGAACATAATTATAGGTATGCTGCTACATACAAACTTTCTATATTAATCACAAAATTTAAAAGCATTGCCAAAGCACAAATAAGCATAAAAATGCAAGTAAAAATATCAAAAAAGCATAATAAAATGTCTATAAATGTGCCAATAATAGTGTAACTGTATGCAATGCTAATCCAAATATGAATTTTTCTGTAACTATTGGCCAATAGGCCACTTATATTAAATTTGACTATCATCCAACAGGCCAAATCCAAACCTACAGTGAACAAAAACAACCAATTTTTGTAACTGTCATCTGACAAGCTAACTATTTACCAGAAACAAAATTTGAACAAGTAAGACTAACTAACAAGCCTATCAATAGCATTTGTGGAGATAGGCAATAGGTCAATAAAACAAAACTAAGTCAGGTTAGCAGGAAAACAAAAATTATCTTATCTGAGAAAAAACTCATTTCTTTTAAATATGTTCTTACTCTTACAAATTGAAAAAAACTATGTAATTACATTGTTACTATAATATATTCTAATAATATAATTACATTGCTACTATAACTAACTTTAACAAACATCAGATCGAAAATACTATGCAATTATATAACTATATGACAGACTCTTTCAAATACTAATAGAAAATACTACTAAATTTCAAATTGAAAAAATTGCATTATTTTATTATTTTATTTGCATAATATCTCTACTGATCAAGCAATAAATCATAATAATTATTTTTAAGGTTGTTAATAGAAAACTACAAACTATATTAAAACATATAAACCACTTCAGTTTAAAACTAAAGTGGTTTATATAGTTTAAATATATTTGAAGTACTTCATTAACAATCCTAATTATTCCCTTACTGATCAAACAATAAATTATAACAATGTAATTGTTTAATCAATTAATTTGTATTTCATATTCAATTCAAGACAAAATGCTACTTTGATACTTTCAAATTGGGCAGCTAATTACATAACAATTATGCATATATTTGCAGCATAAGACATATGTCCAGTTGGTAGAATAGACAAAATTCTTGCATATCTTGAATATATACTAGGCTTATAAAGCAGTTTCCTAAATTATGAATCAAATTTCAAGAGTAAAAGGACCAAAAAATTCAAAAAAAACTTCATTTTCATATAAAAATTAGAAATATTTACAAATATAAAACCTGTCTAATAATTGATTTACATAATTGAAAACTTCATAAATAAATTAAACATTAGTATAAAAAGGTTGAAAAATGCTATATAATAAAAATAATATTATTATTAAAAAAACTTATCATAAAAAAAAGTGTGTATAAATCAAAAAATAATCAAGAAAACAAATTAAAGCAAATATTTTGAAGAGTATGAGGAGCTAAAACAATATAATAAATTAAAATTAATAAAAAATAAAAAAATACTTTAATTAACCTATGGCAATTATCACTATCTTTATTTTTAGAATTAGAATGCAAATTGAGACAGAAGCAAGAAATAAATATAATAGTTTAAATTTTAGATTACATAAGGTTTTTAAGAGTTCTGAGCATTTTTACTTAGTCTACATAACTCTTGTTTCTTAGTGTGTTTTTTGGAATATAGCCTCTATATAATAATCACTATAGGTTATAGTTAGTTTTTTTTTTTTTTTTTTTTGGTGTTAAGATAAGGTTTTGTCTTTATTTTTATTAATAATTTGTTATGGACTACTACATGAGTTGACATAGGCCAGAGCCAATTTACAAATTTTTTACAAAAATGAAACTTAGACTATAGATGAAATTGTTATCTAATTTATCTAATTTATCTGCAACCTAAACCTACTAGAGTGGTTAAAACTCATCTAGATTTGATAATATAAA